GGGGGGGTGGAGCTGGGGGCTGGGGGTGGACCCGGGCGCCGGGCGCCGGAGGCTGGACCTGGAGGGCTCTAAAATTGGCTGGAGGGGCCCGTCGGCGGCGAAGTTGCTAGCTGGGGGCAGAGACGGCCACGCGGTTGCAGGAGTAAGAGATCCCCCTGTGGCGAGTGCGTGAGACGAGGAGTCCGGCGTCCCTGCCATCCCGTCGCCCTCCCCGCCCGGCCCCGCTAGCTCCTCTCCTGGCCTCCGCGCGTCCCCTCATTCTCACCCTTCTTGCCCCCTGTTCGCTCCCGCGCACTGCCGGGTCCCCTCGGTCCCCCGCCCTGACCTTCCCGGCCTCCGGCTGGCCCTGGCCCCTGCCTGCCTCGCCTCTACCCCTGGTTCCCCTTTTCTTCCCTCGCTACTTACCCTTCCCTGCTTCGTAATTCCCGATGCAATTGCCTCTTTGAGACCTTTTTTTTTCCTCTCCTTCCTTTTAGATTGGCCAACGGCTCCTTTCAACCCTGCCTCGTTGGTGGCCACTGGAGAAGCGCGGGGGGCTCCCCAGACAGCCGTGGGGACAAGTTAGAGCCAGCACTTTACCCCAGGCCTCGCGTGTAGTGTCCCCTCCCCTGCTTTAGGTGCCCCTGTGTCTGGAGGGGTGTTTGGGGGTGTGCCCTCCTTACATGTCTCACGCCCTGGGCAACCCTCTGGGCTTGTGTTCCATCTCATTTTTTGCTTCCTGCACGGTGGTCGAGGGGAACTACTTTGCATCATGTCCCGGTATAGCTACCAGAGTCTCCTGGACTGGCTCTATGGGGGCGTGGACCCCAGCTTTGCAGGCAATGGGGGCCCCGACTGTGCTGCCTTCCTCTCTTGGCAGCAGCGGCTGCTGGAAAGTGTGGTGGTCCTGACCCTGGCCCTGTTGGAGATCCTGGTGGCCCTGCGGCACATCCTGAGGCAGACGAAGGAGGACGGTAGGGGTGGCCGTGGCGGCCAGCCAGAGCAGGTGACCCAGCGGCCAGAGGAAGGCAAGGAGAGCCTGAGCAAGAATCTGCTCTTAGTAGCCCTGTGCCTGACCTTCGGGGTGGAGGTGGGCTTTAAGTTCGCCACCAAGACCGTCATCTACCTGCTCAACCCCTGTCACCTGGTCACCATGATGCATGTGAGTCTGTTGACTTTTTCCTCAGCAGCCTAAGTGATAGAGTCATTTGTGTGCTCTGGGCACTTGGCAGTGTAGAGCACCTCATCCCTGTGGGAAGTGGGACCCTTAAAAATGATTTTCCGGAGAGTGGCTGCCTCTGTGCCGATTTCAGAGTTGGCTTTCTTTCACCTTTGCACAATGTGTCAGCCCCACAGTGGAGGTGAGGAGCACTGTGCTGAACCCTAGGAATGATTGGCACTCAGGCCAGCTGCCCTTCTAGGTGGCCTTTCAGAAACAGGAAGTCCAGCCCCAGCCAGGTGCCCTTTCTGAATCCCATCTGTGGACAGTGGCCCAGCCTCCTTGCCCCTTTTTCGGTACTTCATTTCCCAGGGGCCTGGCGTGACACTCTTTCCTGGAGATGGTCACATCAGCATCCTTGTCTCCACTGTGGTACTTTGGGGAAATACTTTTATGGGTTTCTCTTAATGACTCTTTCATTTGGGAGTTTATGCTCTTAGGGTGAGGTCTGCCTTTGAATTCTGAGGTGCTGGGGCAGCACCAGCCTCCTACTAAGTGCACCCTGAGATAGGCCCCAGGTTGACTTAGGAACTTTGGGCTGGTGATCTTTATGGTGAGAGGGTGTTTATTTGTTTTGCAAACTTCTCCATCTTTTCACTGTCATTCTGTCTCCTGTGGTCATGGTCCAGGGGTGGTCAGTGAGCTGATGGCTTTACCTTTGCAACTTCCACCTATTAGTGGTGCTAAGAAAAACAAATGGGATTGCAAAGGAAAGTTGCCAGATACATAAAAATAATCTGGGTGAGGACCAAGAGTGAGACTGTCTGCCTGTACTCAGCCTATGTGGAGAACTGTTATAAAGCTATTAAATCATGGAGGAGGAAGAGAAGAAGAGGAAGAACATCGGTCTCTTTTAGACTTCAGGCTGTGGAAAACCTGTTGTGTTTTATCTAATGGCAGTTTTGAAACCTGTCATTAGCATCTTTATTGCTTTCATATTTGTCTAAAGTTATTCTCAGGAGACTTGTGACAACCTTCCGTGGGGCAGGAGGTTGAGATTATTATCCCTATTTTACAGGCCTGGCAGGGTCCAGGAATGGGAGGTCACTTCCCTGCAGCCAAAAGATGAATTAGCATCTGTGTTGGAAAGCAAACTCACCCTGTTTGGGTCCAAAAGCTGTCAGTGGAGAGGCAAGGAGAGGCTGAAGCAGATGAGCATGGTGCTGCTTGTCTGCTTGTGGCTCAGATACTTGCTACTTGTGTGTTCCCTGGAACTCGTCTGATTGCAGTTTCCTGGCCTCAGTTTTCTAATCTGTAAAATGTGGTGAATGGCCTCAGACCCCTTTCCTTCTTGCAGATGTGGCCAGGAGGTGTGGATAGCTTTGGAATAAAGAGGCTGTTATTGATTGGGTGGCTGTAAGCATCGAGCAGGGATGGAGTGGGCAGTATTTTTTGAGAGAGGGCTTCTTGGGAAGTGATGCCATTCACAGGAAGCCCAGGGCTCTCCCAGATAGACCTTCTGTGTAAATTTGAGCCAGTCCTCTTTCTTTCTTTTTCATGAATGGGCTTTTTGTTAATGAGAGGACACAACGCATCGCAGCCGCTGCTGTGTGAGGCTTCTGGACAGGAGTGCTTTTTTTGGATGGCAGGTGGTGAGGGTCAGAGGGTGCCTCTTCTACAAAGGGGTCTTGAGGCCTCTGGCAACCACATATCTAGAAGGTCAACAAAGGACTAAATTCAGCCTGTCTGGGGCTGCTGCTGGTGTGATGATGTCAAACCTGGCAGCACCATGGTTTTTAGAGGGAAGGTTTTCTTTTAGAAGTTTTTAGAGGACTTGGAAGGCCTAGTTCTGTATAGTACCTTTCCTGGGCCTCAGTTTGCCCATCTGGAAAATGTGTCAGAGTTGTACTACTAGCTCTTGACATTCTGTGATCTTGATATTCTGTGATTCTTTTTTCTGTAAGCAGTGTATAGGGGTGCAACAGAGCTATTCTGAAATGCTTTTGGCCTGCTTGTGTGGAAAAACGAAACTGGTTTCTTCTCTGAGGAGGTCAGGTGGCCAATCCCTGTTTAACTTTTGCTCCCTGTATCTCCTCAGTGAAGTAAACCTGACCAGACCACCCCTGGCGACACATGCAGATGATGATGGCACTTGGTGCTGGCTGCTGCAGAGAGATGGATGTTTTGGGGGCTATGGGCTGATTTTTGTCACCTGTGCCTTTTCAACTCTCTTGTGCTTAGCTTAAACTCTGAAGCTATAGGCTGAGGGCAGAGATCAGCATCGTGCTGATGAATTCTTAAGCTCAACTAGGATTATACTCCTTTGCCCTTTCCCCCCAGGTCACTGCTTTATATCATTTAAACGGTAACCCCTGGCCTACTGCGGGATCTAGCCTTTGATAAGTCCAACTTTCCACGCCCTCCATGGAAAAGTTGATGTGAGTTCTTAACAAAAATATATCAGCAGAAGGTTAGAAGTAATTTTCTGACTTGGTTGCAGCAATGACTAATGATAGAATGTATGATTCATGATACCTTACATTTATCTAGCACTTCACTGTTTATAAGGCATTTTCACATGCATTATCTTATTTAGCGTTGGTTGTGATAGATTAGCTTGAGCCTGGAGAAAGGGATGTTAAAATGTTTCCTGTGACTGTGTGTATTCCTCAGGGGAGATAATGAATACAAAGAAATGCTTCGGCAAGTGAGTGAGTTGAATTGGGCTATATTATGGCAGTAAAGTCTGTGGGGTTCAGAGGTCCTGAAAAGGAAAGGGAGACATTAGCTGAAGTGAAAGGGTTAACTTAGTAGAACCATTTTTTTTTAATGTTTTAATGTGCTATTTTTTTTTTATATTTTATTGTACTTCAGGTGAAGGCTTACAGAACAAATAGTTTCTCATGAAACAGTAGTACACATGTTGTTTTATGACATTGGTTAACAACCCCACAACATTTTAACCCTCTAAATTCTCAACCTTTTTTAGTAGAACCATTTTTAATGTGTCTCTCAACAGAAGGACTCAATTTTGGCTTCATAGAGAGGCCCTTGTCCTCAGAGAGTCAGTGTAAGTTTGTAACAGGGGTGGTATGACTTTAGGCCAGGAAGTAGAGAAGTTGGAGGGAAATCGGTTTGTCTCCCCATCTCCTATTTTTCAGTCTGCAGAATATTCCCAAGGCCTTGTTACCAGACTGTCAGCACAGCCATGCTGCCTTTGGGTGACTGCCAACTTCAGTAGCATACGGAAGGGCAGAAGAACTGTGTCCGAGTTCTATTCTTGATTAACATTCCTGCTGTCGAGTTTCTTTTTGGTCTCGTCTGATTTCTCAAAGGGCCTGGCACTATAAAATGATGTAGGCTTGCATGATTGAACCAGCACTATCTCATATCTAAAGCTCCAGCTGGAGATGTTTGCGGATTCTCGGGATCAGCCAGCACTAAGATTGACACACCATTGTTAAACTCCTTGTTAAATATCGCTAGTGTTTACCAGTATTTCTTCAAGCCTGGATAGTCTTCTTTTGCATATTATTTTGGCAGGTGTGGGTGACAGGGGATGAACTTACTAAGTAATTTTGCTGTTTACCAAAATAATCACTCAGCAAGTTAGTGGCAGAGGTTGCTTTAGGACTCAGCTGTCTCAATGGGAATTGAGGCTTTAAGCAGGAAGAGATTCCCATAGCTATGTAAATACTAAAAACCTACAGTTTCTCAGAATAAGGATTAAAATGACAGAATTTCACTGAATGTATCTGTAAAGACTGGTGGTCTTGTTGTTGTGTACCATTGAGTTGATTCCAACTCATAGCTACCCTATATGATAGAGTGGAACTGCCCTATAGGGTTTCCCAGGCTGTAATCTTTATGGGAGCAGATTGCCAGGTCTTTCTCTTAGGGAGCAGCTGGTGGGTTCGAACTGCCAACCTTTTTGGTTAGCAACTGAGCTCTTAACTGTTAGGCCACGAGGGCTCCTTCGTCTTAGCTTAGTGGCTCTTTATTTCCCTTGAGTCCAGTTATGTGATCTTTATCTTATGAACTTAACAAAAAGATCCTATTTTGGGTGTCTTGTTTGAATGTCCACTTCCTTTTGGTTCTGTATGTGTCTGTGTCAACATGTCCTGGTTGGACACTGAACTTAGTGGGGTACAACATATGCCATTTCACCCTCGATGTCTATGCACATAAGGCAGTCTGTATCCCTGGGTGGACATATGGCAAATGATAATTGATGTTATTGATCCCTTATCCCCAAGCCACTGGTTTTTAGGCAGTAATACTGAGCCCCATCACTTTTTTTAGAGTGGCCATTACTATTTGCTTGTCTTTCTTCTTTCAACTATATTACAAGTCTGATTTCTGACAAATAGGCTTACCTGCTTTTGGTTCACTCTTTGATCTTCTTACTTCCTTCCTCCTTGCTAAAAGTGCACAGACTTGAGCATTTTGTGACACCCTTTGGAACTAACTGAATCCACACTGGTGTATTCCCGTTGCTATGTGATGGGTTTGTTTTAGAGAAAACCTGATGGATTTGAGAACTAGGCTTCCTTTTTTTCCTCCTTGACTTCAGACCAGACACACCTCCTCATTCCCCATCTGTTGTCTGGAGCACTGATTACTGTTTCTGCTTGGAATTGACGTCGGTGGGTAATGGGTACAATGAAGGATCCAGCCATCTGCTGACAGCTTATCAGATGGACTGTGTCCTGTGTCATCAGTCCAGGGGGACACCAGGGGATGATGTTTGTATGGGCCTGGGCAGTGAGGCATGACATTCCTTTTAGTTTGTTTTATTTTCTCCCCCAAGGAAATTTGCAGAGGTTGTTTCCATCTTTCATTGTTACAGTGTTTCGGAGGCGTCCATTATAAAGAGAAGTGGCAGGGATTGGTGGATTAAACAACCCACAGGCAGTTCTGGGATTTAAAATTATGATGATGCTAGTTTAGCTCATGGCTTGCTATGGGAACCTCAGCAAATTATTTAACCTTTTCCTATCTCA